TTATCAAGCAAGCATTTCGTGGTAGTATTTTTGAATATCTAGGCAAACATTTGACCTGGCTACGCCCATGAGTGTGGTCATCCTGAGTGTCACTTCAGCCGGATAGTTCCTGCAGACTCAGGGAGGCACACCCTGCTAACTGGTTTCCAACAATGTAGATTGGCAGAATATTGAGTAATACGCAAATGTAGTCTAATAGCTTGTTCCCGCGGAAGCTGCACTTAGTGCTACCACATATAGTATTTTCTGAGTTAAGGTCATAACCCATTATCAGGCCCATACCATTGGACTCGGTCTACTGAACGATATCCATAATCTCCGTCGATGAAGGGGGGACAATAGAATCTTAAGACAGGTAAGCGGAGACTATGATGGCCTCGGCGCGTCGCCCGTCCGCACAGTACCCAATTTTTATCGCAACGACATCTTGGGAGCAGAACACTCTAAGCGTCGTGCATTCGACCGAACGCGGCGCTATAATGCATGCGCGCGACCGTTTTGTCCCTCGAAATTGAAGGGCGTTACGCTAGAAAATCCCTCCAAGTCCACAGATTCGCCCGCGGCATACCCATGGTTCCTGAATTAGGAGTCTAAGGTCGCCTTATTAAATTTTTCGTCATACAGTCGGCATTTACAGTCGGTTCTTAAAGTATAGTACATATATCGGGGTTCTCGAGTAGACGATTTTTCCGTTTCAAAGCTCATTTACCACAAGCACCCCGTGCTATGTTGAACTCACCCACTAGATCTTAGGGCGTTTTCTTTTCTACAAAAAGTGTTGTTTTCGCATTGCCCTACTCCTACAGTTTTGCGAAGCGGGCAATTAAAAGGTAACATTTTTCGGCAGCATATAAAGCGTCATTCGTTCTTATCCCCCTAACGTACTCACAAGAGAAACAAAAACCAGTCATTCTTTTGAATTTAGAATAGTACCGTCATTTTGTAACTAGCCGATTTTTTACATACAAATTACATTCATACGTACAGTAGCATATACAATTATACATATATGAATATCCGTTGCATGCACATTTTGTTTGTTTCGCACTTACCCGTTCATATTTGTTTGCATTTTTGCCACAACACCGGACACCGGTACGTGCTTCCCGCGAATAATCATTGAAAGCGCATGTACATTCGTACTCATACATATATTGTACATACATACATATGTATATAACACTAGCCACCCAATATGCACAAAGCAAACATTTTTCCAATCGAATTCAAATTGCTAGCTAAGCTTTTCCCAAGTGGAAACCTAGATTATTTTGCATACAAAAAATGTGCCCTTTTGTTAGACAATGGGTTGGTTCTCCAATTGAGGTACACTTGAAAATCAACATTGGACCATGGAATTTGTATTGGATCTCCACTTGATCTCCAATCCAAAATGTTTATTGGGTACATATATTTTTTTTTAAAAGCTTATTGTGGAATTGATTTTTTCTATGCACATAGCTTAATTGGTGCAATTAAACATTTGTTTTAGCAAAAACAAAAACAAAACACAAAACTAAGTAAGAGCAAACAAATTTTCATTTGCACACGAAATTGTAGTTCAGGGTCTTCGCAACGGAAGGTCATGCGCTCTGTTTGTCAGTTTTTACGCCGCCTATGAAAAATGAGGTTACGTTTTTATGTTTGAATTTTACGCGCATACAACCGTTCACTGAAAAACTTAAAATTGCTTTTTATATTTTAATGCCGATTTGTGCTTTTTTTTGCATCGACTTAAATAGGTTGCAAAATTGATACTACAAACTGCTTTCAAATTTAATACGCTAGCGTTTGATTTCATGTCTATCTACTATCGAAACGCAGCGAATAGAAGAAAGGTATGAAGCTAAATTTTACATATTTATTCCCTTAATATTTTTGCTTTGTAAGTATATCGTCGTTTAAAGTGCAAAACCGCGTAACTGACATTTGCTGCCAAAACTTGGATTTGCTCATACAAGCTCTTGGCTCAATCCTTATCCATTCGCCTTGAAATATACTAGCCAGAAATGCGATTGCTTTATAAAAAAGAGAACCATTTTGAAATAAGTGTTTTTATTTTCTGGAAAATAATTTATGACCTCACATACGCGGTTTTGCATTTTGTTGATACGCGGTTTTGTACTTTAAACGACGATATGCAAAGTTAATTTGAGTCACATTCACTTTTCCGTGCCGCTTTTGGCGCCTATGGTCTGATTATGGCAACTTAACGTAACTTGCGGCTCTCTTAAAAATTCTGGTAAATGGGTGTTGCTTATAATTGAACAGCCGAAACTTAACGTAACTTGATGCCACGTCAAAATCTGTTTCATTTTGATTCTCTAAGTTCTACGTTCCGTTAAATTAAGTTAAGTTGCCATAATCAGGCTTTTACACTTTTGCTAAGCAAAGAACAGATGTAGTCAGATTTTTCGCGAATGCTTGAGTCGTTGAGGGAGTACAGCATATGTCCGTCCCATACGTACGTTATTTCCAGAGTGTAGTTACCCTCAACCGCAGGGCTCTCCGTGAAGCATTTTTCTCAATGAAGAGATCAATCGGTGGCAAATAGCAGATGACATTCAGTGCTTCCATTGGATATGATCTGATAACGCCAGTAATCGCATTGCAGGCTGAACTTCATACCCTACCTATCATAAAATGTGTATATCGTTCATCTCTACGGATTTCCACCGAACCAGCAAATCGTATGCAATAATTGGGCGAATCACCGCCTTGTACATCCATAGCATAAGATCAGTTTGTAGATCCCACTTCTTACCCAGCATTTTAGTGCAGAAGTACAGAGCACTTTAGGCATTTTTACTGGATTCTCTGTTTTCATTTCGGTGTGGGAATGACTCCCAGTCGAACGGACTGATTTAGTTATGTTCGTCGAACTGTGTCTGCGTAAACGCATACTAGTCTCTCAGTTTCCGAGACATCCGACTAAAATTTGGTAAGCTGGTGGTAAGGGCACGACCTTCACCCATCTGTTTAACGGATAAAATCTACTTTTTTATGAAATTTAACGTGTTAGGAAATAATCCGCGAGTGGGTTGGCTGAAAAAATTCTGGCAAGGATTTTTTTTAATTAAATACTCAAAAATTATTAATTTTTAAATTTTATACTCATTTGTTAAATGAAAAAAAATCATAAATACCAATCGATAGCATAAGCCTATAGAATGTATTAAACAGTTGAGTGAAAATTACTAATATTACTTACCTGTTTATACCTGCCAACCCGATAGTTAGGCCAGGAAAAAAATATACAACCCAACGTGTTCACATTCTATAGGCTTAATACTTTCGATTCGTATATAAATTGTTCATTAAACAAATGAGTACAAAATTAAAAAAAAATAATAATAATTTTTGAATATTTAATATTTTAACCCACTCGCGAAATATTTATTAACACGATAAATTTCATACAAAATAGATTTCATCCCTTGCCCATGACGTATCTTAGACTCAATTTAGTATAATGTGTAGTTCCCAAAGAACTATTCTAAAATACAATGAGTTGAAGTTACTTGTTTGATCTGAAATTGTAATAAGAATCGAAAATATGAAATTTTCCTATAATTTTCTATGCAAAAATTTCAAAATTTCGATTCGTACGAAAAAGAAGAATGCTTTCAATAAATCCAAAAAAAAACTGTATTATTCTTTGATGTCAATTTGAGTCCATATTAATTTATATCAGGCGTCTTTATTTGGATGGTAAAACTTTCATCCAAGGAAATCATCTCATTTTCAATCTCACCTGTTTCTTAGCCATTTAAACAAAAACAAAAACTTAAAATCTGGTGAAAACGAAAAGTAAAATGAATTTCACTTCAATTCAATCAGCGTGCAATTTTTTGCACACGATTTTTTTTTTTGTTTGGTCATGTTACATTCCTTTTTAAAAAATACCACTTGACCTCCCCCATTTTGGCCACAGCTCGCCTCAATCAGGCATCGCCCGCAATCATTACTGTTCTTTAAATGTTGAGGAATTCATTGCTTTGCGAAAAAGAATATTTTTTTGTTTTTGTTGTTGCTAAACATTTTTGCTTGGCATTTGCGAATATTTTGATTTTCTGATTTTAGAATAAATAAATAGCGCAAAGTCAAATCAGCAAACAAATTAAAAATATACAACAGCCATTGCATTGTAAATAGTATGTATGTATGTATGTATGTATATTTGTAGTACTTTTGTGTGTTGTTATTTTAATGTTTCTGTTGTTGTGTCTTGCTGCTGTTATTTGTTGCCGCCACACATCAACATCACAATCAATTTAACTCAATCACAATTTACCGCAGCGCAGCAACAGGCAAATAGACGTCTTTAATCTGCTGCAGCAGTCAGTGAACAATTTAGTCAGTCAAGCAGTTAGCAGCAAGTTGCTAAGGTAGCCAAATTTATTTCATTCTTGAATTTGTCGTAGTTGTATATGCTCTTTTTGTTGCAAATCAATTTGATTTTAATGTGCGATATCAACTTTAGCAACAACGCTGCACATTCGTGAAAAATATCTAAATAAATGCTGAAGCTCCCGCCTCAGCAATGATTGCAGCAGATTGTCCACGTAAAGCGAATCAGGCGAGGCAGGCAGGCGGGTGGCGGACGGACATACAGACAGCTAGAGAAGAAGAAAAAAAATGATGATGATGAAAACACAATAAATGCCACAGCATCAGCGCTGGGCGGGTGGCTTTATCGTGAAAACCAAAGCCACCACACTGGCAGTAGCAACATTTGGCATAGATTTACTGCAATGATGAACGGCAACTTATGTATGTATGTATGTCCATTAGGGTGCCTCACCAAAAAAAAAAACTCCGCGTTTTCTACCAGGGTTATAAAATTTCTTATATATTAAGATTTTCGATTTTTTTTACTACAGAATATTTAGGAAAACCATTAAGATGTATGTAAGTGAGCTGGACCGATTAGGAAATACCTCCAAAAATTCTCATTATATTCAAACATTTTTATTCAGACCTTCTAAACTTAAACTCTTCTCTTCCGAGGGGATTTTTTGGAAAAAAAAAATTTATTAAAACTAAAATCATTTATAAACAAGTAAGAAAGGCTAAGTTCGGGCGGAGCCGAACATTAAATACCCGGCGCAAGTATTAA